AATAAAATTTCAAACTTAGCCCACTGCTGAGTTGCTGTTTTCAGAAGGCGTTGAGAGCACCCCATGTGGTCCTTGAGGGCCCCTTGGTGCCCGCGGGCGCCGCGTTGGTGACCCCTGGTCTATATCATATATGTTGGAACACTTTCACACACTTTTGAAGCTTTATTTTAATAGCACACATTTTTTGTTTTTAATTAAACAAAATAATAAAGCATAGCTTTTAAGTTAAAGGAGTAAAAACATTTTGAAATAATTGCTTCACTGTAGTATCTAAGGTTACAAACCAGGTAGTTTCTTCCAGTCTTAAAAACATTCATTACATCCCTGCTGCTTTGCTGTGTTACCCTGCTGGGGCCAACAGTTGCAAATGTGCATTGAAAGAGGAAACAAGCTGTGTCATCATCAGAGATGGGAAGTAAAGAAGTACAAATACTTTGTTACTGTACTCAAGTAGATTTTTCTGATATTTTTACTTTACTTTACTACTTATTTTTATGGCGACTTTTTACTTCTCCTCCTTACATTTTTACACAAATATCTGTACTTTCTACTCCTTACATTTTAAAAAAATTGGCTCGTTACTTTAGTTTTGAATCATTTCAATGGAGTTACCGTTATTATTTTTCACGTCATCAATACCAAATTCAATCTAATTGGATGGGAATCTACGTTGCATTTGACGCACCACTACAAGATGAATCAACAGATTCGGCGGTATTCATTCGCGGCAAATTATTGCAGCTTGGTGGCGGTGGCGTTAGCATAGTAGCATGGACGACGAGATGATTGAAAGGAACACAACGGAGATCTAGTCCTATTGGCAGACATCCATTTAAAATGTAGGCAACGGCATGAAAAAAGTGGTTTCTACTTTTACTTTTATACTTTAAGTAAATTTACAAGCCTGTACTTTGTTACTTTTACTTGAGTAAAGAAGTTTAATCAGTACTTCCACTTTTACCAGAGTATTTTTTAACACAAGTATCTGTACTTTTACTCAAGTACGGAAAGTGAGTACTTTTGCCATCTCTGGTCATCATATGATGCAAATTCCAAAACACACAAGCACAAAAAAAACTAATGCAACAGTAAAATGCTGTAGAAAAATAAAATGCTGCAATCACTGAAATGGAAGTAAAAATCCAACATCAACGAAACAAACAAACATAAAACAAAACAGCATGCAAGAAAAAAAAAATGGCATTCAGCCACCGCACATATATCAGCAGAAACATCCAGTTCCTGACTGCTGTCTGTGTTGTCAGTCACTGTTTACATGTCGGGTTCCCCTTTCACATCATGAAAGAGTACAAGATTGCAAAGGTGCTTTTTTATTCAGTGGAAGGATATTTTTCAATACTGAAAATATTGATTTATTTAAGGAGAAAATGATATGCCATACTTTAAAATGCAATCACATTTTCAGCCTCCCATCTTTATCTTCATAAAGCCATTTTTGGTGAAATGTTCTGGAAGTATCCCAGACATCCTCCTACCTGACAGCATTTCTAAACACATTCTGCAGCTTGATACCTCAAGCTGGGTTTGGTTAAGTTTAGTTTATCTTAGGATCCCCATGAGACCCTATGATAGTATAAAATATTCTTCTTGGGCTCCACACCACAAGCATCACAGTAAATTCACAGTATTATAAGCATAACATATTAGGATAGGGTAATAGAAGATGTAGGGTCTATCCTAGAGCCTTCCTTTGGAATGCACTTGGAAAAACCTTCAGAGGAGATTACTTTATCAGGCTAATTGCCTGAGAATTTTTATTTCACTTTTTATTGAACTGTGTTTAAATAAAAGCTTATTTCATTGTAAATGCATTGAGCTTGATCAAAATGCTCCAGAGAGAGTTCAAATGGAAATTAAGAGAGAAAAATTATTCTCTTTATGCTTCTCACATATAATCCCTAATTGGATAAACAAATGCTGCCATTAACAATGTTTTCTTTGCATAGATAATACACTTTACTATTTTGTGTTTACCCTTTCATCTTTATTTTACAAAATAACAGCTATTGCCACATCTGCAACTCTCTTCTTCTCTTCATTCAAAAGTTTTCACATCTGGTTAAGAGCTTACAAATTAAGCTGTGTTTCTTCCCCGGATAAAGCACAGTGTATCTGCTGGAGATTTCACCCCATTAAAAAGGAGTTTTATAATATGTTGTCATTTGATACCAAAAAAAGTCCTGAGAGAGGAAATAAGGCTGGACTAGATACTTCCATGTGATGTGCTAAACTGCCAGTGGATATATAGAAGCAAGCAGTTTGCCCTCAACACACCAAAAACACCAAAAGTGGAATTCGAAAGACGTCAGTGTTGCAAAATGGCCAAAGACATGACTGGGGATGTTAAAGAAAAAGAAAAGCAGCACTTTTAGCACCAGAGAATGTTGCAGACTGGAGATCAGGGGGTATCGGAGCTCGTGTTATGAAGGAACAAAGTTGGTAGCTCTTTTAAACCAAAATCCCATGGCATCGGACCTACAGGATGTGCAGAAAAAACTTGTCTGCATTGTCCTATAGCCATCTTAGAATGGAATGGAATGAAAAGCAACCCATAAGATTAACTTATATTCGTAAATAAAAAAGTTAGTTTAAATCTATTTTAGTAGTGCCATTTATAATAAACTTGAGTGATTTGACTCGAGAGTATTCCAGTAAAGTTAAGAAAACAATCCACTGATGTTTGTTTCCAAGTTAAGACATTCCACTTCCAATCCATGAAGCTTTTTCAATGTAACTTTTTTACTTTTTTGGAATGACTATGAACTGAGAATCTTCAACAGCAGACTGGAGAGTATCTTCACCTGCATTCAAGTTTCAAGACTATCCAGACCGAAAACCAACTACACCGAGTTAATTGAAATCAAAAACATATAATGCTTTCTTGAACTCCTTAACTGTAAATCTCTGCATCTAGAGGCACATAGCATACACATTTAAAATATCTGAACAAATCATTAGCAGGCCCTCCGATTGGACACTCACTCAGATTTAGTAGTAAAAGTGATGCAGACCCTGACAGTATGTCCCAAAAGCTTGAAGCTGTTACTGTACTACCAGATTTTTTCTTTAATCCACCCACACATCCATGTAGCTTGGCAGAGAGTGGGAGAAATATGGATGCTAAAAAAATACAAAGAAGATGAACAAAACAATTAAGACTGTAGAACAATCTTTAAGGAGATTAATTAAGTGAAGAAGACAACAAATCTGTAACCACTTATGAACCCACGCACACTAGAAATGTAAACCAAACCACAGAAGAACCAAATAAGGAAACTTCTTTTAACCCCAGGCAATGGTAATCACATCTTCTACTGTGTTTTTTAAGTTGAATTCATTCAAATGTAGTTTTTAGCTGTTTTTAATCTAGTGTTGCACATAAAGTGAAGCTATAGCAGTCTTTGAGGGTCCTACAACCTTAAGATTCCTGTCCCTGGTCAAACCCACCTAATAATCGGTGCATTATGTCCTCAAGGTCCAGTCAATTTAGATGGGACTGTATATGTTCTAAATGGTTGTAGCATTGTCTCTTTCTTTTAGAAATTCAAACTGAGCTCTGAATCTCATGATGTCGACAATGCGTTCTGATTTTGGGGAAATACCTAAAGTACATCTACATGAAGGCATAAACCTCCTGACTCCAAATTATTCTCCCCAATACCATTAATGTTGCATAACCATAGAAAATAGGAAGCAATATGCATCTTCTCATCTTGGATATTTGGTATCCAGTCCAGGGGCTTTGTAGAGTGGCTTGAGGCAGAGAGTTCAGGAATGTCACCAGAACCATGGATTATTTAATGATGGAGAAAAAGGCTTCTTCTCAGCCGCAGCTGGACCTTAATTTATAGATTAAAGTGAGTAGTACAGCCCAGATGACCTTGACATCCTTGGAAATATGAGAGAAGTACTTTGATAAAGTAGGTTGACATTGACTCCCTCAAGGACCTCAATGCCATTAGGTTGAATATGTGAATCCACTATGACCCATAATGGTAACTATGGAGATGTCTCTGATGGTGGCTCCAGAGGTCAAGATAGTTGAGACAAGGGAGAAGAAGACCTCCAAGATGACAAGGTTTAATATTTAAAAGTCCGAGTCAGAAACAAAGTAATTTACCTGAGTTCCAGGAGATGAATCACAGGTCAGAACAAGAAAGAATAGAGTTCAGAAAAGCAATTTGAAGGTCATCATTGGGAAATCTCTGGTGTTGATGTGCTAGAGCCTAACTCCATCACCGGCACACATGTTAGGATCATCACTAATGAATGCTGTCGTTGTAGAAAGGTGGATTTGTAGGACTTATTAACAGATAACTCAGCAGGGAAAAACATTTGATAGCATAGTGGTCAACTGCATTTAAAATGACATCATTTTTGCCACAGCCTTTTCACTCTCTCTTGTACAGAAAAGTTAAAGATCATGTAGGGTTAAGGATGAATACCATGTTAATGAAATGTCTAAAGCATTAAATGCGTCTTCTGTTTAAAACTTTATCTTAGAATATATAGACTATACTGTTTACTCTAACAAGCTGTTGCTAACAACTGCAGAAAAGAAAACAAAGTTTCTTTTTTGCATACAACAATATATTTGAGGAACTTCTCCCAATTGTTGATTAAAAATTGACAAAGATCTATAATATTAGACTAGGTCTGTCTTGCCAATCAGTATCCAACAGTATGAAATAACAACAACTTAAGAACAATTTGATGCATTAGCGACAGCAAATGGTTTTATATAGCTCACATGTATCACACTACGGTTGGGTATATTGACCTTTTAACGATCCGGTTTCCTACCACTAACCGGTGTTAATTAACAACTAACCCTGCAGGGTATGTCGATTTGAGGCCACTAATGGTCTGGATGATGTTACAGCTTCCTGTCACAATTACAGTCTGGCTCCATATGAGCTGAGGTGGGAATGTCTTTTCTTTTATTCAAGGGTAAAACATCCCCAGAAAAAGAATGTTACCTTCTCCTGGCTTGTGTCAATCCCACAGACGCTGGTTATGTTTGGGAAAACATCCGACCAGCCGGCAACTGTGCAGTTCCTGCTGATGTTACCTAGGGAGGAAAAGATAGAGAAAATTTCAATGAGTCACTGTAAAAAGAAAAAAAAAACACACACACACAAAAAACACAAAAATTACTTTCCCTCTGACTATATGTTTATACCAGAAAAGGTGCCATATATTTATAATGTGTATGAAGTTACACAAGGCTAATGCCTAAACAGACATCCACTGATATTAGAAAAAAAAAGACAATGGTATGAGTACTTTAAAGGATTAGATTTTGTTTGCAATTTTTGAGAATTCAGTGCAAAAATATACAAAAAAAGAGCATTGTAACATTTTGCAAGAAAATGGCAATATGCTGCATAAAATCTGCATAGAAGGTAAAATGGTTTTGTCAAAGAAACCCCTTAAGAAATTTATCATACTCTGGACATTTAATTATTTTGCTAAAAGACAATACAACAATATGATTTCATCATCCTGTCAACAATGAGTGGTGAGGTTGCTTGAGGACCCAAATGCAAAAACAAAAACCAAAAAACAACAAACAAACAAACAAAAAACGACGCAGGAAACAAAAAGTGGGCAGAGTCTCTGGAGGACGGCCCTGTGACCAGAGGGGAGGCAGAGTCTCCGGAGGACAGCCGTGAGGCTGGTGACGAAGGAGGACTTCCGGAGGATGGCCGTGAGGGGCCTTGGAGGTTTCACCACCTTGGAGCTCTTAAGAGTTCTCAGTCTTGCCATTTGGTCCTTCCTGGGGTTTAGGGATCTCTGGATGGCACAGAGCTTGCTCATACAGAGGATCTAACTGTGGTGGATCACTATAGGGTCCTAACTGCGCAGTGGAGACGCTTACAGGTTCTGACTGGAGTGTAGAGACGCTAACAGGTTCTGACTGGAGTGTAGAGACGCTAACAGGTTCTGACTGGAGTGTAGAGACGCTAACAGGTTCTGACTGGAGTGTAGAGACGCTAACAGGTTCTGACTGGAGTGTGGAGACGCTAACAGGTTCTGACTGGAGTGTGGAGACGCTAACAGGTTCTGACTGGAGTGTGGAGATGCTAACAGGTTCTGACTGGAGTGTGGAGATGCTAACAGGTTCTGACTGGAGTGTAGAGACGCTAACAGGTTCTGACTGGAGTGTGGAGACGCTAACAGGTTCTGACTGGAGTGTAGAGACGCTAACAGGTTCTGACTGGAGTGTGGAGATGCTAACGGGTTCTGACTGGAGTGTGGAGATGCTAACGGGTTCTGACTTGAGTGTGGAGATGCTAACGGGTTCTGACTGGAGTGTGGAGATGCTAACGGGTTCTGACTTGAGTGTGGAGATGCTAACGGGTTCTGACTTGAGTGTGGAGGTGCTAACGGGTTCTGACTTGAGTGTGGAGATGCTAACGGGTTCTGACTTGAGTGTGGAGACGCTAACGGGTTCTGACTGGGCTGTGGAGACGCTAACGGGTTCAGATGGTGGAGCTAGGACAATGGGTGGAGCTCGCTGTGTGGCTAGGACACTGGGGGAAGCTAACTGAGGAAAAGGAAGGACTGGTTCAGTAATGGGTTCTGGCTCGGGGACTGGCCCTCTAATGAGCTCTGGACAGCTAATAGGCTCTAGTTCGGGGACTAGCATGCTAGGGGGCTCTGGCTCGGAAACTGGCCCACTAAAGGGCTCTGGTCGGCTAAAGGACTCTGGCATGGGGACTGGCCTACAGAGGGGCCCTGGAAAAGCTGGCTGGCTGGGTGCTGCTGGAGAGGGTAGGAAAGGGAAAAGGTATTCAATTCTCAATAAAAGAAATCCTATAATTGAGACTCCTTGAGATGAGGAGCTCTGGCTGCTGGTGGTGTGGACATGAGGACTGATTTTAGTCCTTTTGCACTTGGGGCAAGCTGCTAGTCCAGGAGGTGACGGAGATGAATGAAGCAGAGATGAATGAAGCAGAGATGAGTTCTGATTTATTTAATTGGGTAACTGAGGCAGACATCCAAAATATACAAAGTATAAAGAACCAAAAACCTTCAAGGGTAAAACTTACGTGGGGAGCCAGAGAAGAGGAAATAACAATCAACACAACAAACCAGCACTTAGTGACTGCAGAGGTGGAGTATTTAAGGGGAACAGAACAAAGAATGGACTAATGAGCTGAATAAGGAGCAGGTGTGAATGGAACTGACAAGAAGGAAACAAGCACATGGGGGCAACAGAGAGTAACTAAAGACTGATATAATGGAAAATAAACCAAAGAAGAAAACAGAACAACTGATAAAAGAAATTAAAAAGTCAGAGACACAAAGGGGGAGAAACATAACGCATCCAGAGTCGGGAAATGGAGTCAATCTAATTACATCAATTCATTTGGAATTTTTCTTCAATTTCTTTAAAAGCCTTTTACTGCCTCTTTTTCTCAGTGTGATTAACTTATACAACTGCTACACTCAGATTGAATGAACTCACTGTCACTTTTTATCTGAGTAGCCCTGACATTTAGCATAAAAGACACAAGTTTGGTTAAAAATATAAAGTTCTTTCTGCCACAGGGCTGATATGTAAAGTTCCAGGACTATCTGGGGCTCTGTTATTCCATCATACACATGAGATATTTCATCAAAGCACCCACTGTAACATAAGGAGTCACACAAATCAAGAGGAAAAGGTCCTCCATGAAGTCAGGCATTCTACTAAGAATTTGTAACGAAACACAGACCTTACTGCATGACATTTACAAGCTGAGTGTAATACAGCCTGTAGTATGAAACTACACAACACTGATGGATGTTAAAGCACAAGATTTTGCTTCATACACCACATTATATTTGTGAACGTGGCAGGATGCATTGCATCACAAGACAGCTGAGATACATGAGAGAAAATCTTTTCCTTTGCAAACATTTCACTTTTTCAGTGAATTGGGAAGCCAGGACTCAATATAAATTGCATTTAGCTCTCCCTTATATTTTCCTCCATTCATTCTACCTTAAATATATAGTAAAAAAAAGAAATTTTAAAGTGTCAGTAATAAGACAAAAAAAATATGAAAGCTGTGTTCTTCTCTTCACAGTTTGAGTAGATATCTATAAAAAAATTACCATTTCAAATCTTTTCCAACAAACATTTCAAATGAAATTCTGGATTTTGATTTAATTACATCAACTGTAAATATCTTGTTGCATTAATAAATTATCATCTTCCTGAAATATATTTAATGGATACCATAGAATAATTCACTCTGCACAGTTACTGGCAAATCTATCAATAGTTTTGCATGTTGGACCTTGCCATATATTTTTAATTTTGGAGTAGCAGATAATTCTCTGCACCTGCGTTTCCCCATTTGTTCTGACATTTGCAGCTGTTTTCTGTCCTACTTAAAGTGTTAGTCATTTTGCTAGTAGTATTCATCAGATCCTCAGCTCATCCTTTTTCTCCTCACCTCATTGTTATCGGTCTGTGAAGTTCATTAAATTCTATGAGACTAAGGGCCCGATCTATTCTCAAATAACGAGCGCTAAACTGCACATGCGAGCTAAAAGTATTCCTTATCAATTATCAATTATCAGGTGTATTGCTGCTAAACGAAAATAATTTAATATCTTAGAATTAATGGAAAAGCAGTTCAAACCAGTTCAAACAGGAGTTCTGGGTGTGATAATGGCTATAATGAAGGAGGAAGCCTTGGAGCCAGAGAACGGTGTGGTGAATACAAAATAAAACATAGATAAACTATAGCAGAGAAATATTTTCACTGTCTAAAGAAATTTATTTTGAGAGGTCATCAGTGAAAAGGTAAATTGTCTAATTAGCAAAACTAGAAGCCTCAGCCTCACAGCATATGGGACTCAAAGAAGCTACAACGACTATAAAGAAAGCTGACTGTGACCTGGAGGCTGGTTCTAATTTTGTAGAGCTTATAAACGGCACGTTCAAAAATAGCAATACTACAATAACAGTTTCCCTTTTGCCATGTATACAGGACAGTGAATGTCTCACAAGTTTTGGAAAATTACCGGTACTAATCATCCCTTTTAGATACTGCAGAAGAAAAGCAGCTTAATTGTGTTTATAAATAAGTGCCATGTTCAGTAAACTGTGAACTGCTGAGGGACATTTTCACTGCCAAGTTCACTGCAGTGCACTGGGAGTTCAGCTCCCATTGGAGATGCCCAGAATGCACTGCAAGAGGCTCAAAGCTTCACTAGCCTGCCGAGTGGAAGAAACCACACTTCTGCCCTTAATGTGCCCCTAACAAACCCTCTCCACTGTTATCCTGCAGGCTAAACTCAGATGAAGCTTGGAGATTATTTCAGTGGATGCAATTCTGCAGAATAGTTGAGTTCTCAGGAACTTCAGGGTTAGGGGAAGGAAAAAAAAAACAGTTTTGTTTGATGTTGGATTTAGTAGAGAAGGAAAAAATTAGTTTAAGAATGGAAAAAAGCTAAAGTAAAGCGACCAATCCCTGGTACACTTTAATGAGAAAGCTTTTCAATAAAGGTAACAAGGAACTAAATCCTCAAATGTAAGAAGGCAGTATTCCAAGAAAGACAAGGAAATGTAACCATTGTCTAAAATAACATAAGCCCTTATTTTCTGTAGCAAAGCTCCTCCTTTTTAATGTTAAGCAAGCTTTAACTTTGCGATGATAAATCAGAACATAAAGACAAAAATCATTCATAGCTAAGGCATTTTTATGTTTCAGCGTGATTGAAAATGAGAAAGGCTTCACTCAAAAGGACAATTGGTTTTTATTTTTTTTTTATTTACATTAAAAGAACAGTTTTGACTGATATTTTAGTAATTTATTCTTATTTTCTCTAGTGGTCTCATTTCTGAACCTTAGATATAAACATAACAGGGCCTAAAACTTGGGTACGTTAACTTCCCTGCAAATGTTATCATTTGAATTATTTTGTTCTTGAGATGATTTTCTATTCCTACAGTAAAGGTTTTTCGTGTGTAAAATTTTTGGATATTTGACATATATACACTTTTTTTTTTATAGATACCGTGCAATATTTTATTAATAAGACCCCAGATCTTTGTGGTTGGAAGGCCTCCTCTCCATAAACCACTTTCTCCACAGATTCTGTGATGTGACAAATCCAAAAATTATTCATTTCTATTTATAAAAACATGGTTAGCGAGTATAGAAGATAATTCCCACATAAATCTGTAATCAGTTTGAATATTATGGAGCTTAACTGCCACATCTATTCCTTGGGACGTACTGTATGTGGTGCCTCCTAGTTTGCAGCTTCATACATTCACAATAAGACTACAGTAGTTATTGTTCTATTAACAAGGATTTTCAAATCCAAACAATAGCCAGTGCATAAAAAATGCTGCCCCTAGAGTAAGTGAGACAGCTTGGTGTCATGTTATATTGCACAAGTTAAAAACTTTCTTCCTTTAACAATGTGGTTGTTTCTCCGTTGTATTACTGTACGGACAGTTCATATTTCCATTTATAATCAATTTAGCTGAATAAATGCATGTTTGACACAATAGCCCTTGAAATAGTAAGATATTTTTGTCTAAATTAAAAACAACAATGAAAAAATAAATGAAAAAGTATAAGGAAAGATTTTAGATTCTGTTTTTTTTAGGGAGACTACCTCATTTTGAACACTGTAAAAACATGAAGTTTTTATAAAATGCATTAGTAAAACACACTGACTTTGCTGGTTAGGATCTGCCCCACAGAGGGAAGTGTCAGTGAGCCGCTAGGTGCTTACTAATGTTCAGTCATCAATTTGGAAAATGAAGCGGAAACCCAAACTGTTGTCCGGTCACCGGCAGGAAAAAATGTGAGGTGGATTCAGGAGGGAATCCACTAACAGCACACAGAGTCACACAGATGAGGCGAAAAGTGAGGGTGAATCATGGGACATAAAGGACAGAGTGTCTGCTGAGCAGCAGAGCATCACAGCTGAACGTAACCTACTTCCTAAAGGACTGTTTGCTCTTCTAACTGCTCTGACAGTAATCTATACACATATATTTAACAACATACATACATAAAACCCTGACAAACTCATGCCTGTGGGAAATTTCAGAAATAAAGTCACACTTCCATCATGAACTGTAGTGATGAAGACAAAGAAAGCTGTTACATTATTCCTTTGAAATGTATCCATTTTCTCTTAGAAAATGGATTAGACAAATAAATTGATCAAGAAAATAACACTATTTAGGTACAGTAAGTTACTTTGAGATTTCGCTACAGATATGACAGCTGTCTCATTTACATCCTTGGAGGTTAACTGATCAGTTACATTTACTTGCATAATAAATGGTACTCAAAGGGATTTGGGATCCTTTAAAGAAAATTGATGCAAACACAGTGCTGCTTTGGGTAAAAAAATGTAGAACCTATTTCAGGAATATACAACAAAATATAACAAGTATTTAATTTCAATTTTACAAAAATACATCTTATTGTACAATTTCTTTTATAAATAAAGGTTATGCTCCAATGAAAATGAAGTAAGTGCACCCCGTAAAACTGCATAATTCTGATCAACTTTTGCTCTCTCTTCTTGCTCTGTTAGTGTATTAAAGTTTGCAGGAATCTCCTTCTGCCCAGTCCTCTGAAGGTCCAAGGTAATGATTTGCTACTATTTTTGTATTCTTGTCCCACTGATGGCCCAGTTTTAGTAAAGTTTAAACTTTCTATTTCTATTTTTTTTAGGACAAATGGGCTCAAATTTTAAATTATTGGTCTACACAGTTGGACTTAAACGTTGCAGAATCAATAGCCCTCTAGGTCTAATAATGGTTCTCTAATCAGGTCTTCATGCACTCCCATTCTCCCTTATGTTTCAGATGTGTCTCTGCTTCAGCACACCTGATTCCAAAGACTGCATTATCTCCTCAGTATGCCATCAGGTGATATCTCCTGTATATTGTTAGTCATCTTTTAATTGCTGTCTGAAGTGTGGCAGCGGGGAATAAGAACCACTCCTTAGATACAAGATAAAATCATAAGTCTTTCACTGCCAACTCCAAAAGCTGTTATTGGGTAATTCATCCTCTGCTTGAAAAAAGGCTTACCATATCCTTTGACTCATCTAAACTTATTGCTGGTTTGTTATCACTTTGACATTGTTTCTGTTTGTTTTTGACAACATTTTTATTTACTTGTGTTGATCTAAAGAGAAACACAAGGAAAAAATTCAGGTCATAATAATATAACAAATTAATAGTCAAAATGAATCATAAATCACCATTTCTGCCGAATAGAATCTTGAGGGCTCGAGGACAAGGGATAGTGACAGTTTCTCCAAATTCAGCTCGGTCCCAGCAGGTTATTTTGTCCCAGTGTCCTTTGCATCCCGGCTCTGTCCAACAGAAAGATAATGCATTAGCAAAGGTTATCACTCATCTCAATTCAGTTTTTGAATATGAGCTTAATTGAAAACAAAGGAAAAGTCCAGGTTCATTCACTTTAGGTTGAGTTGTAATTTAAAATGACAAAAACATCGCATATATTCACTGAATAAAAATTATAAATAAGAAATTCCTCTCGGATTTTTGTTTTTGGCACACCCACATTTATTAATACTTAAAATTGTTTAATTCACACACAGTTGTAACACATCAGCTACAGACACTGAACATTGTCCTATTTTTCCCAAGACATTTAGCTTGGCACGCTCTGGACTGTTGAAGAAAGATTGAATGTCATTGAGGGATTGAAAGTTCTGCCAAGACAGAATATTGTAGCAGCTAAAAAGTCTGGTAAAGGATTAAGAAGATCCAGAGCCCGCTCTTGTATTAACAATAAACACCTTTAAGTATTTCACTGTTTGTCTCCACTGAATTCTGGCTCCTGTGTTCTGAGCTTATGACAGAATAATCTGGCCAAATAAGCACCCATTGGTAGACAGACAGGGTAGTTCTGAGTTTGAACAGTGTTTTATTTTTTTGTTTTCTTTCTGCTCCAGTCTGGCATGCATGGAGATTCTGGATTGTTTCAGGCTAATTCTGTGTCTGCATCTCCTGCTGTCAGACGCTGGGAGATTAACCCCTGAACTGTTTTGGGGGTTAAAATGATTGGGTTTCCAATTTCTGCTCATCTAATCAACCTGCTCCTGCTTCTATATACAGTATGCAGCTCAGTCCCAGCTATCAGGGCCAGATTATTGTTGGTGATGCTGATGCTCTCGTTCTAGTGCTCATTCTCAGGGGCCAGTAAAGAGACCTTTTTTTAGTGTTCCGTAGTGTTCCTGATATCCTGATTCTGACCTGCCTCTTATCCACTGAGCGTGCCCTGTTCCTGCCTGGTCTCAGTGAAGAAGGTGTTCCATAGTGTTCCTGATTTCTTGGACTCCTGCTTTTCCTCTCCTGCAACTGGGACACACCCCTTGCATCTTGTTGACAGCTCAAAGGCTGGATCCTACCTCATTTTCTGGAGATGGTCTGAATTGTATTACCAGGTTAGTGACTCATATACATAATTATCCTTCGTCAGATTATCTTGGCCCCTAATCTGTGTTTTTTCTCCAACCAGAGTTTTCCAGTGAGGGATGGTGCCCTGCCCTGGCCACTGATAATGCAGATCCACAGTCCGATCTGTTTTTAAATAAATGCTTTGAATTATCCCACTGTCTGTCTCGCCCTTAATACTGGGTCCTTTTGTCCTGTGTCATGACAGAAGTCTCCAAAAAAAAGGCCAAGAAATTCCTAAAATTCTATAACAAGGCCTACCGTAGAGCCATTTCATTCTCCTTTAAATATGAATGTGTGTCTTTAATCAACTAGAAGGAAACAGAATGCACAAAAGTAACTTTCTTGAGGAAAATGTGAGATATGTAAAACTATCTAAAAGCTGAAGCAGAACTAAATTCTGCAACATGACAATGACTCAAAACATACCAGTAAATTCAGTAAGGAGTGGATGAAAACAAAAAAAATGAGTAGCCCTAGGTCAAGTAGTACTAAAGTGTCAGGTAACTTGAAAAACGCTAAACATGCAAGAAGCAACAAAAGTCTCATGCCAAAGTGGGTAAGGCAAGGCAAGGCAATCTTATTTGTAGGGACCATTCAAAGTGTTTTAAATAAATTAGACAAAAAAATAGAAGACAAATAAAAGCAGAGTAAAAGCAAATAAAGATAAAACATCATAAAAGCAGACAGTAAAACAAATAAAACAAGTCTCAACAAACCTCAGTTAACTTCAACCTCAGTTAACTGTTTAACCTCAAGGGTCAGAGGCAGTTATTGGCAGTGCTTGGACGTTAGTCTTCTAATTGTAGAAAATGATGGTGCATGCGCATACGATCTGTTCAAAGCATCTAGTCAACACACTGATGGGTTCATAGTCACCTGAGGACATTGTAATGTAAAGCTGTGTGTCATCTGCATAGTTATGGTTACTGATCTTGTTGTTTGCTATAATCTGAGCCAAGGCGACCATTGAGATGTTGAATAAAAGGGGGCCCATAATGGAGCCTTGAGGAACCCCTCATGTGCCCTGTGGTTCTTTCAGAGTATGAATTTATATGGATGTCATTGAACACCTTAATCAGAGCAGTCTCTGTACAGTGCTTGACACAGAATCCTGACTGAAAGACTTTAAGGCAGCTTGAAATGATTAAGAAAGCATTTAACAGTTAAAACACAACTTTTTTCACTAAGCTTACAGATAAATGGGAAGTTTAAGATTGGCCTCCAGTTTTGCAGGCTGAATTTGTCCACGTTTCTCTTTTGCAACAACAACTTGATAATTGCTGTTTTTAAGGCCTAGGGGACAGCACCCAAAATAAGGGATGTGTTTATGATTTGAATCAAATCAGCACCTAAAACAGGAAAAAAAACCTTTTTAATAAAACATGTGAGTAAAACATCAAGCCTTCAGGAAGAGGAGCTTAGTTGCTAAACAGTTTCTTCTGAACGTTTGCAGTTTGTTTGGCTGAATTGGGACAGTTTATTTTAACTGGAGACAGTATTGTTACTGAAGTTGGCCTTGATGTGCAGACTGCTTTTTGTAATAACTTGTATTTTCTCAGTAAACATTGCAAAGTCATTGCAGGCCTTCTTAGATTGGAGTTTATCAGCCATACAACATGTTCTCATCCCAAGTCATCACATATTGACGCAGAGGGTACCCCTCGCATCAGTCTGTTACATGCAGGGTAAATGACAGGTTGTGGACAGTGTATCACAGGACCCCAGACAAAAAAAAGTTGCCCTATAAACTTACTTAGGTAGCTTTAGGAGTGTATGGTAACATGTGTTACCATAGAAACATAGTACTGTTTCTTTAGGACGAGGGGTTAGGTTAAGGGATGATACTGTAGGTTAGTGGTAAGTTTTTACTTCACAGCTCATTGAAAAATATTTTCAAGTTGCTGATACAGCCTGGCATGAACTCTGCGCAGCAGTTACTGACGACAGGGCTATCCCGTCATCTCAGTATCTGACGCGTAGGAGACTTGACTAAGCGCCAAAATGTAACAAGCTGGGATTGAGATTGTATAGGCCACAGAGAAAGGCCACAGAGGGTTTGTTGGCAAATAAGCTGCGAGTATTTTTGTTTTCATTGATAATCTCAGGGAAGAAAGATGCTCTTATATCTTTTAGTTGTAAGTTATATCTGTTAGGTTTATCTTTATAAATTTCATAGTAAAGTCCATTATTTCGCCACCTTAATTAAGGTTTTTGGCATTCCCCCTTTTTTCTTTTCTTGCTCTTGGAGCCTTTCTCCGTACAGATTTCATCTTCCCAGAGACAAATTTCACTTTATATGGAGCACTGGAATCAATGATGCATAAAAAATTTGAATAGAATTATCAACCAGATTATCTACTGAGTGGAGAGCAGTGGAAAGTAAGTGGAAGCAGGGGGGTAAGTCTGGGTAAACATTTTATTTGTACTGTTCTTGATAAAATGCTGTCTTGGGGTGGGAGTTGAGTTTTCATGTTGAATGTACAGACTCAGCTGTAGTGTTGCGCTTGATACAGGAGATTGTGCTATGGAAGAGCTTGTTGGGTTCCAGTTGGAGGGGAGATTATTCTGTTGGGATTTCACACCCGTTTGTTGGGGTTTTAGGAGTGGTCACTGTACTCCAGAGCAATGATGGATGTGACGTATGTTTCCCCATTACCTCATCGACCATTTGGGCTGTCTTTGTTATTGATTCGTTCTGTTCTTGCTCCCGTTCCAAGAACTCATATTCCAAGGCCTCAGCAGAGTGACGTCTATCATCAGGGAGATTATTTTTTCCAGATTTTCCATTTACAATGTGTACTTTGTTCAGGTAGTAGAAAATGTTTGGACCAAATGGTCTTGCACATGATCTTTCAGACAATATTAATTGGTTAAAACGGATTGGTTTGTTCAGACTGAAGTCAAAGAAGTTTTAAGGGTGTACACTATCTGAAGGTACATATGTGATCTTGTGCTGTTAAGTTAAGCACTATACATCAAGAGGTTCAAAAGGGCAGCGCCAATCCTCCAGGAATACAACAAATAAGCTCTAGGCAGAGATAGCTCTTCTAGTTTTCAGCTTAAGTCCTAATGGGTGCTATGGTGTAGATGGCAAACAGTGAACCTGGCTCTTTAGTGATAGATGAGTGGAGACAGAGTGTGGGATAAAATAAAGCTTGGCTAAAGGTCTTTTGTGACCGAGGACTGTAGTGGGGCAGTGAAAACGCTATAAAAAGAAGTCTTTAATAACAGAAAGAGAGCAGCTGCCCAGGCTGAATTTGACAGTTCTATATTGCTCAGCTGGAGGTCAGAAATTAATAATTGCTGCTTTGTCTAGAAATATGAAAGATCCTGACACATCAAGTGTTGAGTTCTGAGGTCAAAAGGAGCAGCATTGGAGTGATAGATTTAAAAAATCGGAATGAATTCAGAAATCATCTTATATCTTCCTTATATGTCCTCACAATAAAATAAAATGCTGAAAAACACTTGATAAGCGCCATTCGGAAAATAGTTCTTGATAGGTATTTTTTTTTTAAAAGACAGCTGATTTCTTATAAACCCTAGTCTTTTTAATCATCACAAAGCTCCAACTAGGAATTATTTTAGCTCTCTATCGTCTTCCCTTGTGGTTCATATCCAGACATTATTGTCAAAATCAGAAAACTTTGAAACAGTTTGACTCTATGATCTGGTTGAATTATGTCTGTAAAGTGCCTTGAGATGACACTGATACCAGTATCGGGCGGGGCCCCGATACTGCACTAAAATGTATCGGCGAGTACCAACAAATAGCGCCCCGATACCATTTTGAGAGTCAAAAGTTTATTCCAGGTAGGCAATAAAAAGTTGTACTCGATTCACTTTGTATTAATCTTTTTCCTGCTTCACAAAGGCAGGCAGCAGCTTG